TATGTCCCTGTTGGGAAAAGGGCCAACATCACTCACCAGGGATTCCAGCAACAGTGTGAAGAGTGAAGTGCTTGGTTCATACGTTCATCCCAGCTAAGGTGGCTGTTTTCAGCCCCAATTATTTCTGATATTTGCCATGGATCAAGAAACAATTTTTGATGGACTTTCAATTTGTGATATTTGAATTACAAAGTTTGGCACAATGATTTCTGTCTGATTGGAACAGCTAGCTCCAAATAGCAGGTAATCTATGGTAAAGCTGGCTCTTAAAAGAAGGAGGTCCAAGTACTGGCGGCCTGGTGCAGCGACAACCACCTCAACCTCAACTCCACAAAGACAAAAGAAGTCATCACTGACTTTCAGAAGTCAAGGTTTCTAGGACTGCACATCTCAGAGGATCTGGGCTGGACTGTGAACACCACTTACGTTGTCAAAAAGGCCCAACAGCCTCTCTTCTTTCTCAGAACACTGAGGAGGAACAAACTCCCTCCACCTCTGCGTGTCCTGACCTATGGATGTACAGTGTGGTATGGCAGCTACAGACAGGAAACAACTTTAGCAGGTCATCAAGACGACTCAGTGGATCATTAGCTCCCCACTCCCATACTTAGAGGAGATCTGCTAGAGTTATCTCCTCTCACAGACCACAGAGATCCAGAATGACCCCGCCCACCCAGGACACTCTCTATTTACCACCCTCCCCTCTGTCAGACTCAGAGTCATGAGAGCCCTTACTAACACAGTTTTTTTCCCCATGGCTGTGAAGAAACTGCTGCAAGGACCATGACACTCCCAGTTTATGGACTCATGCTAGCAAATGCTCTTTTGCACTTTTAATAGAGTGTTTATTTAATTGCTGTTCTAATATTTAAACCACCTTTTAATTTTTTTCTTAGACTGTGACCATATTAGCTGCCACAAAGATGACGCCAAACAAAATTTCGTTCTATTTTTTTTTGTACAATGGCAATAAAGCTTCTTCTTCTTCTTCTTCTTCTTCTTCTTCTTCTTCTAAAAGAATGTTTCACCTTGAAAACATTTTTTGTCACAAAGTTCTTGATGTAAATGATTAAATGTTTGATTTTAAATTGAAAACTAACATACATTTTCCATTAAAATTAAAGTAATATGGGACTGTGCAAACTTGAGTAGGTAGTTTGAGGATTTAATTTTTGTGCTGTGAATAATACTATAACCTACACCCTTTAAAATCAAAAAGGCGTCACTTTAATTATTTATTCCATAACATTTTTTTTAACAGAACATTATGGTATGTTATTAACAGCAGTACACTATTCATATTTGCTATTTCTGTGATAACAAATATTGTTTTGTGATAGAATAAATGGATTTATACAATTATTTTTAAACAATAGGAGGTGTGTTTATTGGGGTATAATGTAACAGTAAATGGCCAATATTATATTACATTGTACTGTTTTCTGTAATCAGAGTAGCAGTTTGCAATTAGTGCCTATTGAAAACTTTACTGTTTTAATTCAGCATTAAATATTTTATGTATTATTTCAATATAGATTTGGAATTTTTCATTGTTTATGAACCTCAATTTGGATCAATTTATTCTCTGAAAACTTTTTATGAATTGTTAGACTTTATATATATGTGGTACATATCAGTGATAGTGGGTGATCTGACAGTCTTGTGGATGATCGTCATTTGAAATATGGCTTCAGAGGAATCGTACATACTTTGTCATTAAGTATGTTACATGAAGGCCTACATATTGTATTTAGAAGGTTGTCCTCAGCTCAGTAAGCTGCATCTTTGGTAAGAGGGCTGCATACGCATTCTAATTCCACTGTGTTGGATTGTAGCTGGTAATGAAGTTCTCATTCTGTTCTCTGGCAGATCTAGTGCACGCTAGAGGACCACTCCAACCTGAACCTGCAGCAGGTAGAGAACTAGTTCATGTGCTGCTACACAAAGCACGGAGATTCTATAGACAGAATGAGGACGTCATAAAGTCAGTTCATGTTAAGATAGCCGACTACCATCACCAGTTGCTGTCTAAGACAGTGGACTGGCAGTCTGTCCATTGGATGAAAGACTCATGGCATCATCCATAGGCCCAGCCATAACAGGCTCAACAACAAATCTTTTCCTCTTAACCAGATCATCTGGCACCCTCTGATATTATGTATTTCATTAAATGGCCTGTTATTAAAAAGAGTTTACAGAGATTCAGACAGTTTTTACATGTGCACAACTGTCTTAAGTCCTGTTTTGATCATATCCAGGAGATATTAAAGAGATTAAATATTTTCTGATCATCTGTGTGCAGTTGTGTCTTAATTTCTCACCATTTCAGCCACTAGGTTCTGTAGCAACAAACAATGTTCAGAATCTAAATGAGTCACTGTTTCCAGTTGTCTGTACTAAAAAGCAGGATTTAAGGTAATCAAGGCAACTTTAGGTGCAACACCAGGTTTTCAGGACTGTGAAGGTAGTTTACTTCTTATTTTGGAATGTCGCCATGGTAATTTAAACATGTGACAAATCAACGTGTATAAAAACCCTACCTTCTTAGTTATCATTTGTGATGCAGATAGTGAGAGGGTCTCTGAGGAGGTCAAGAGTGTTTAGAAACAATCTAAACACTTTCCTCCTCTTTCCGACGAGCAGAGACGTGAGTCATATAGATTCTCAGAGGCGTATTCAATCGAATTAGATTTTCCTGTTGATTACAAGTAATTTAAGTCACATGGCAAATATTATGAAGCTAAGGCAAAGGCAGATTTGTGTTTACTTAAGGAGGCAGCAAGCAAGCTAATAAGCACAGCTGAGAAATTGTGGATATGGGATGTGGGATAGTCATATCAAAAACAGATTTTCTCCCCCTAAAATCAGAAACAATCTTTCCACAGTTTGGTGCCAGGAGCCGCGAGAGGAGACAGGCTGAGTAAGAGAGCCAGCTGCTGCTCGCACCTCCCCTCACAACAACAGCTGATGGCTGTTCTCTCTGCTAAATGAGTACGTAGGGTTTTCAGCATCCATTAGTAGAAATACAGATGGGCTGCAATGGAAAATGCTGTTCATTGTGCAGACAGACATGCCATTTCAGTTTCAAATCAGTCATGCAAGTGCAACATAGAAAGGAGTCAGTTTAAAAAGCACTGAAACCACTCGCTCCAAGCCCCCAATAAAAAGCCACATAGGTCAGCAAGCAGTAAGTCTCCCTGCAAAGCTCAGCACCCGAGTTTGCACATTCACTGCATTTTCAAAGCTCAGAGACATGGCAGTTCATTCAGCATTATTGGATAAACTCTCACAGTTGGTGAAAATCACCTTTAAAAGTAGTTCTCTTCTTAGGAGCGTATTTGAACCTTTAAATAGTTTGTTGTAACTAGTTAAAAGTTTGCACTGAAATAATTACTGGTCACTGAATCTTATTTTATACTGCAGGTTGAAACAGACTGTAAGAGAAAAAAAACACACAGCTACTCAAACTTTCCACAGCATTCAGTGTTACGTTGAACACCATTGGTAATAATAATGTCTGTTAAAGGACAAGCATGAGTAGCAGTTAGTCACTCTGAATCATGTCGACCCACGGTCTCCAAGCTTTTTTGCACCACGGACTGGTTTCAAGCAAAACTATTTTCTACAGACCGGTCAGTGTGCACATAACAAATAATAATTGATTTTTCTATTAAAAAGTGTCACAAACTAATCAAATGACTTTTTATTGTTACATTTACTGTTTCTTCCATCTCAGCATCTCATCCTCTTTTTAAAGAAGCTCTCCAGAAAAAAATGTTTTTTAATTCATTTTGGCAGTGGTTAGAATAGATTTAACCGCAGGGCATGAAAGTGTGGGAAACAAGCACAGCCGGAAGTTACAGGAAGACCAGCTAGTTATTTTTCAATATAAAACATCGTGCTGTTGGAAACAAAATAAACCAATAAAAAAATGTTCATTCTTTCTGTGCGGCCCGGTACCAAATGACCCACGACCTGGTACTGGTATGCGGACCAGTGGTTGGGAACCACTGATGTAGAGGACTCTTGGAAAATGAGAAGGAAAGGGGGACATTACCAGTTTTCTTTCTGCCTAAGAGGCCGCCAGCTTATATATGCATCACCCACCACATGGGAGCTATTCTGGGCACATAATGATACACTGTTGCCCATAAAGTTGGAATCATTTTTGCTTTCAGACACATTCCTCTTTTTATTTCTATTTACACACATCAGTAATCACTTTGGACCAGGTGCAATGATTACATACTGAGTCCCAGTTACCCAGTTAAAGCGAATTCTGACTTGGGGAGAAGAGTGGGACGTCCTGCCCACTGACACCATCAACAAGCTTGTGGACAGAATGCCATGATGTCTTTAACACATTGACCCGTGTCAGGGGTGGCCAGACTCAATGTTCGAGACTGAGTGACATCTGAAAGAGTAATATTGCATGAAATCCCTTCAAATATGTGTTTATTAATTTGATCAAGGTTGAAAATTTGGAACAAAGCCCTTAATCCTATTGTCCAATAACCCACTTTTGTTTAAGCCTGAATACACAGTTTGCAAAAGTTAATTGTGGTTGAATTTGTACAGTGATATGTATTGTAGGTATCAATAAAGTTTTGAGAAGACGCTTTATCTATCAAGAATAAATGGCATTGTCACAATCATTTAATAAGAAGAGGTCAACTTTGTGGGCAACAGTGTCTTTGTGATTAATTCCATTGCAAGGGGACTTTCTTTCCACCCCATGACTTTTAATCTACAAAAAACACTTCTAACCTCATTTTGCAAGTCGTACTCCTAAGAAATAGTTTAAACATCCAAGATATCCATCGGAAATGCGCTCACAGTGTTTCCTGCGTGACTCAGAGTGACTTTACATCCCAGTTTGACCACTACCGCCTGATGACTCACGGGTGCTGCAAGTACATTTGTACAAATTACTTCCAATGTCATTCTAATGAGCAGGACAGCCTTCATGCTGATAAGAGAGGTGGACAGGAAAACCTTACTGTGTTTAATGACGTCCCACGCTGTGACTCAGCAGCTGCATTAGGAGCAACAGACATCAGCACCGATTAATCCAGAGAAAAAGACGCATCAGGCTGCAGCTGAACTTTCTGATCCGGCTGCAAAGCAATCGCACAGAAAACTACTCAGGTGATGGAGCTGCATATCAAAGCTGTCATCGTGGCACTAAAGCTGTGTACTTGCCTCGGTGTGGACGCAAAGCAGCAGGTCGCTGTCCTTCTGTCCGTCGTCTGTCTGTGTGTGAGTGTCACATGTCAGCGTGCGGACTGACCCGGCGCTGAGTCGGAGCTGGTCACACCCAGACACTGTCAGCTGGGAGATAACGGCACGCACGACTAACTATACAGTACAGCTGTGTTACATAGGAGTACATCCATAAAGTCAGTACATATAGTTATAAATGTGCAAATTATAGTATACTATTTTAAGTTATCCCACGTGTGAGCTGGGATGATGGTCAGGATGAGGCGGTGCTCTGCTGACTGCTGGCTGTGCTCCAGCTGTCAGAGATCCAGCTGTCAGAGCTCCAGCTGTCAGAGATCCAGCTGTCATCCTGCAGCAGCACCAGCAAATGACTGATCTGTAGGGCTGTAGCATGTAACAGTAAACACAGAGCTCCGTCTTCACCTTCCTCCTAGGCTAAGATTTTTTAGCAAAGCAAACCAACAACCAAAACAAAAAAACAACTTATTAGAGGCGAATTTTCCAGCTAGAAAATACCACTGAGGCAGAGCTGGATTCACTCACTCACAAATGAAACCCAGCTGTCTAATATGTGTAGGTTTCACTCATGCTGCCAAAACAGCTCTGCATTGTCCCCACTGGGATAATGAAAAATGAAACATTTCCTGTGACATTTTTCACAAGAATTTTTCATAAAAGTCGTAATGTTTTTTTTCCCAACTGTGTTTGTTCTGTTTTCTTTAGTTGACTTATTCCATATACTTGCATTTGTTTTGTTTTTATTTGCTTTGTTTTTATTTTTAACATGTAAAGTGTCTTTGAGTTTGTGAAAAGC